CCTCTCTGGACCACACCTTCCTCATTACTGGACCACCTCTTTTTTTTTTTTTTATTTCCACCCACTTTCCTACTTCTTCCTTTAAGGTAATCCTACACTATATAATCTAATTATACAACCTCCTTTAGATCCACTATCAACTATGCAGTGCAAGCGCCTGCCCAATTTGATACAAATTGAATAGATTGTCTTCCTATTACATTACATATATTAGTTTTGGTAAATCTAAAGGAAATTGTAAAGAGATTGTACAATCCGATTGGATAGTGTATGGCCAGCTTCATAAAAGTACAAGAGAGAGAGGGGGCAAAGACAGTCAGCTGTCATTATTCGTGTAATCCAGCTCAGAGAGAGAGAGAGGGTGTAAACACACATATTTCACTTTCAGGTCCCAATCACATATAGCATAGCTGGAGGTCTCATTTTTTGTGTTTTTTCTGAAACATGCATAGGGCAGCCCATCGATTTAAATGGGCTACCCTATGTACGATAAACATGGTAAAGTTGCTCATGGGCATTCTGCCGTGTTGTGGTTTGCACATATTTTTACAATGTGTTTTGCCACGTTTGTCATGCGCTTGCTTCTCTGTTTGGGGTGCTATTAAGAGCTAAAGGCTCCAACAGTGCGTTCAACTAGTTCATTTTAGGTGTAAAAAGGTGGCCATACAACATACAATCTGAGGACATACCTGTCTAGCCAATCACTCTGTATCCAATCAGTCAGGCCCTTGCACTACATAGTTGATGGTAGATCTAAAGGAGAATGTACACTCCCCGGCCACTTTATTAGGTAGACCTTACTAGTGCCAAGAAAATATCCCCCACATCATTATACCACCACCAGCCTGAACTGTTGATACAAGGCAAGATGGATCCATGCTTTCATGTTGTTTATGCAAAATTCTGACCCTACCATCTGAATGTCGCAGCAACCAGTCCAGCCCAGTCGCTCACTGGATATTTTCTCTTTTTTAGGACCATTTTCTGTAAACCCTAGAAATGGTTGTGCATGAAAACCCCAGTAGATCAGCAGTTTTTGAAGACTGAGACCAGCCTGTCTGGCACCAACAACCATTCCACGTTCAAAGTCACCTAAATCCACTTTCTTCACCATTCTAATGCGCGGTTTTAACTTCAGAATGTTGTCTTCACCACATCTACATGCCTAAATGCATTGAGTTGCTGCCAAAAAAATTCAACAGGTGTACCTAATAACGTGGCCGGTCAGTGTCTAATCACATTGTATAGTGTATAGTGTATAGAGTGTACTTCTGTTTCAGTGCTACAGCTCTGCTCCACATAGGCTGTTATGTGATCACTCAGTCCCTTCTTCTGTATAAGTCCAGAGAAAGAAATGGAAAATGTTTTTTCAACAACTAAAAAATGGCATGAAAACCGGATGTATCCTGATGTAAACTGAAGTGAACTGAAGATGATGTAAACGGATGTCAGAATTCTGTTTTCATGCCTTTTTTTAAATTCGTTTTTTGTGACGGTACTGATAGCGCTCGTGTGAAAGGATCTTTATTATTACTTTCAGGCTACTTGTACATGAGGCATTTAGCCTGTGTGTTCAATCTCAGCAATTAATCACACTGGGGAGGCAAAGGTGCAGCATCCAGCCTGGCTACCTGCAGCCTGTCAAAGTCTATGGCAGGCTGAATAATGCTGCAGCTAGATGGGGCTGAATGCTGTTTTGAGTAGAACTCACATTTACCACTGTATGCATTCAGGAATATATGCCCAGAATAGTTTTTCTGCATTGCAGGCATATGCTCCTGACCAGAAATTATATATCCAAAATCAAAAAAGACAATCATGTGCTAAACAAACTAAATTTCAAAAACTAAATGAAAAAATTAATTAGGGGAGTGATGCAACCTTCCAGCTATCTGGGCATCACATGTGACAAAATGTAAAAAAACATTAAAAAGTGCACTGTCCCTTTAAATAATACTCACACTAAAAATCCATATAAGTAATCCATTCATAAACGCGACTTTTTATGGAGAAATGCGTTGCGTAGGGCCGCCACACATCATGACGTCATTCCGCACATCGGGGAGAACTCCAATGGTGCTTCTCTGCTGTGTTACATGCTGTTTGTGCACATGCTTCTTGCAAGTGTAATTTTAATATTTTATCAAAACTTGCTGCCTAAATACTACACTACGTTGAAATCCTCTGTATTTTAAATCCCTTCTTTGGAGTAAGCTCATTCGGGAGAGGAGTGCTGTGCCATTTCTGGGAATATATGTGCTTGCAGAACAGCAAGGCCTTTTGAGTTCTCGGTGGGGATCTAATGGTCTGGTAAGGAGCCTATTAACTCTTTGTGGTGGAGTGGCATTAAGGCACAGTTCTTGGTGGTGTTATTCACTTCTGAATTTTGAAGAGCTGAAGAGTGTGGTGGATTAATTATTTGCACCTATTTTGGACTGTCTTAACTTTTGAAATGTATTTACTTTTTTAAGAAGTTTATACACTGATTTTCACAAATATATTTATTCACTTATGTATTTATATTATATGTATTTCAGCGCTGTATTATTGTTAAATAATTTTATGAATTGGCTATTTATAAGGATTCGTTGTATTATTTAAAAGGGACAGCACACTTTATAATGTTTTTTATGCCTCTGAATGCATAAGGCCCTATATGCAATTACCAATCGGTACAGCATTTGGCCGCATCTAGCCACAGTGTATTTCCACCAGCCACAGATTTTGAATGGCTGCAGGCAGCAGAGCTGGAAGCCTCACCAGTGCCTCCCGGGTGCACACAGGCTAAACACCTACTGTGCAAGTATCCTAAGTCAGAAACGGACTACCAGACCGCCATACTTTCTATATTGTGTAAAAGTAAAACAGTGTAAACGGTACCCATCTGGCTTTTTGATTGCCTACTACTTCCTACCTACCTTGTCTGTCTCTACCTGTGACGCCTGTTGCTTTATGTGAATAAACATGAACATGTTTATCACTATACCAAGGTGTGCTGGTGAAGATCCGTATTTGCTGCTGCCTGGGATGCCAATACATGTCTCTGTCTTCAGTCTTCTGAGACAGTCATACTCGATTTGATTTTCTCTTGTTCAGCTTGTGGGTTGAACAAGAGAAAATCAAACAATCCCCCTATCTACGTTAAATACACTAGACAAAGGAATTTCCACTGCTGGCTATTATATTTAGCAGCCATGGCACCCATGCTTGCCTGAAAATATTGGCGTTGCAGAACAGCAACTGCTTCTTATAGGAGACATTTACTGTTTAACCACTTGCCCTCCAGAGGATTTGCCCCCCTTCCTGACCAGGCCATTTTTTTTTGCGATATGGCACTGCGTTACTTTAACTGACAATTGCGCAGTCATGCAACGCTCCAGCCTTCTTTTCCCACAAATAGACCCTTTTTTTCAGTGGTATTTGATCACCTCTGTGTTTTTTATTTTTTGCGCTATAAACAAAAAAAGACCACCAATTTAAAAAAAAAATATATATTTTGCTATTAAACATGTCCAGTAAAAAAACTTTAAAAAAATCAAATGTCATAAAAAATGTATTCTTCTACATCTTAATTGGTTTATATGAAAGTTATAACGTCTACAAATATTTTTTTTATACTAGTTATGGCAGCGATCAGCGACTTATAGCGGGACTGTGGGACTGCAGCAGGAATTCTGACACTGGGTGGGAACTGACTGCCACTGACATCCCCAGTGACACTGGCACTGTACTAATGGCACTGGGCAGGAAGGGGTTTACATCTTTGGCGATAAAAGGGTTAACTATGTGCTGTGTGCTGTTTTAGTATGTGTGCTGTCTGTGTTTTACTAGGGAAACATACTGCTTTGTATTGCTCTGCTATGAAGAGCAATACAAAGCAGCATGTTGGTGGTGCAGGTAGGGAGGCACGTGCACCCCTTACCGGGAAATGCAAAATCATATATATACGTGATTTTGCGCAGCCCTGCCACCCTGTAGCAGTAGCTCTGTTACAGGGCGGCGGGGTACCAGTTAACCAATAATTTTCAACCTGGCTCAGTAGATTTTTAAATCGTTTTAATGTGACCACGCCAACTACAGACTATTTAATTGCATGTGGAGTACATGTAAACCAACTTTCCATGCACCTAAATTAAATATTTCTGGTCAGGGGCGGACTGACCATTTGGAAACTCGGGCACTGCCCAAGGGCCCGGGGTCAGTTGGGGGCCCTTTGAGATACCCCTGGTACCTTTTTCATAGGCTTTTTTTTGAGTTTGGGCAAGGACACAGGGGCCCCATGATCCCCTATTGCCCGGGGGGCCCCATGAGTTGTCAGCCCGCCCCTGTTTCTGGTATTGTAGAGATTCTGGATGTGTGTGGACAGACTTCTGGTTATGTCAGTATGGTACCGATTGCATCACCAAGGACGTGGTTTTGAGTGTCAATAGGGTCCTGATTGTGATTCTGAGAACATGTTTCTAGGATGGTACTGACTACACCTCTGCTTACACGGTTCTGCTTGTCATTATGCTACCATTTGTATCTCTGTGGGCACATTTCTGGTTTGTGTCAGTGATTTCTTACATGTTTACAGAATGAAGGAGGGCGCAAGGTAGCTGACCTTGGGGAAAAGAAATACTGTATATATTTTGCCCTGCTCCTATAACACATGCATAATCATTACCAAAGAAGCTAGACAGAGAAATCCGAAAATAAAAGTCTCTGATGTTTTGTACACCTGTTAATTGTGTATATACGCCCTGTAGGTATAATGGTTCTTTAACTTTCCCGTCTCTCTCCTGTTTCATTTGTGACAACCAGAAACAAGAAACCTCAGACATCACTGATCACCATTTAGGGACGTTAATACAGCACACAAGGCCTTTAGGCTCTTTTGGGAGAAAGGAGCAAATTTCATTTCCCTTGCCCTGTCTCTATATTCTAATTAGAGACTCCATCCTAACTCTCTTCACCTGTGCACATCAAATGAATATGAAATTTGTTTTAGTTCCCAGTACCAGTTATAAAATAGCTCAGCTCGGCATTGAGTCCAGTGTCAGCATCTGTGCAGTTCAGGCGTGCGACAATGTAATCTCGCGGTACATTCTCAGCCAGTGAGACGTTGTACAGAGTTGGATAAAAAGTTGGGCTCTCATCATTGACATCCAGCACTAAAGAGAGAACAAACAGAAATACATTATTATGCTCTATTTTTAACAAAGTGGAGTTAACACTTCTCAAACACATTTAATACAATTAGGACAAGAAAGGAAATAGATATTAAAAAGCAGAAAGAGCACAAATAATCATTATCTTAATTCACAGTGAGCTAAAACAAACAGATTTGTGTAGAAATCCCACCATAACCATGCATTTAATAGAAACGTCCTACTTATGAACTAGTATACCTTACAATAAATACATTGGGGCTCATTTACTGGAAAAAAACAGGAAGGAATGGTTATTTTTTTTTTTAATTTTGAAACCAGTACTACAAAATGAAAACTAGAATCTACTTGTTGATATGAGCTCTCCACCAAATTCCATGGCATTAATTTGTATTGAAGAATTTAGCTCCAATCTTTTGGGCCAAGCATCATAGCTCCTTATTGACAACCATAAATGAGTGTAAAGCTTAAAGTGGTTTTAAATCTCAGATATGAAGTACGAACAAAGCATATCCCTCTATAAAAATAGAAGTGAAATATCTGTGCTCTTCTGAGCCTATGCACACATTAGTTGCTGACACTATGCCTAGATACTTGGCACAACAAATATAGATATATAACATGTGCAGAGCTCACAAACCCAAAACTAAAATGATAAAAAAGTAGTAATGAAAAATAATCATATGAATCACCAAGATCTTATTCCCAATGTCTCCCATTCAAGTACTAACCAGGCCCAACCCTGTATAGCTTCCAAGATCATACAAGATCCAGTGCATTCAGGGTGGTGTGGCTGTAGGCCTTATCCCCAATGTCTATTGTTATATTGTTAAAAACAATATGTGTAATCAAAAAACTTTACATAAACTGTAATGTTGTGATAATATATAAAAAAAACTAAGTCAACAAAGTGTTTAAAGCCAAGAATTCATATTGAGGCATATACACTGGAAAATACACTAGGACAAAATGAAAATAGTCCCACAAGCCATGATGAGAAAATAGGATGAGCCAATCACCATCAAACACTTGTAAGGTCTCCCAGGTGTCATTGGTCACACACAAAGGCTTACCAAATAATGGGACCCTACATACCACCTCCAGTGGTCACATGTGCATAGTGAAATTCCCCCAGGGCACTCTTTCCAGCCTCCCCTTATTCACAGAGACAGCAGGAATTTTGATGTCAGTTGTCCCCATATACATCCACAACTTGCAGGGAACCACTGGGAATTATCTCAGCAGGAGCAATGCACATATGATAAAAGAGACATAGGTAAAACTCCACATATCGTAAAACCACCCATAAAAAGGAATTGATTAAGGCTAAGCACTTACAAATGACCAAAAGTAACACTGAATATCACATGGTACAGCAACATGGAATTCCAGCATCAAAGATGGCCACCGTTTCTTTGCACATGCTCAGTAGTGTGTATCCAGGTCTACTCTACCGGATTTAGTCACAAATTACATCATCAAGGGCAGCAACATTCCCTGCAAGTTGTGGATGTACTGTATATGTCATGTATATTTGTGTTGATTTTTATAGCACTAATATGAAGTAGCATTTTAGTTAAATGTATGTTTTTTAGAAGCTATGCCTCTCCTATTGATATGCAAATGAACCCATTGGACTGGTTTCTGAGCTCAGCACAGGAGGACAGGATACAGGATATGATGTAGCAGAAAATAGGAAGAGGGTAAAAGACCTTTGGACAGCCATGTGGTGAGAGACAAAGGAGAGTTATTCTGGAGATTTCAGAGGAAACAGATGTTTGGTGCTGGACTCTAAAAAGATGAAGGAGCCATAAGAAGATTACATCACAAGCAAACACAAGTTAAGTAGCTGATTAGTATACTCTTACATACATTGTCCATGATAATTTGCTGGGAAAAACAGTTAATTTGGTCCTGTCTATACTGTATGCATATTTTGTAATACTTTCATGCTATAAATTGTTTTTCCTGCAGTTGTATGTGCAGCCTTTTCTGTTTAGTAAGGCAAACATTAATACACTACAGAGGTCTAAGCTTCCTTGCTTATAATGCAAAGTAACCTTAAATAGACACCAAAGCAAAATATGTGACAATTGAAAGCAAAATTCATGGGTTCTCTGTGGAGGGGAGGTTGGGGAGTGCACTTTTCCCCTAGGGGAATTTCACTATGTGCATATGACCTCTCTTATATGGAGGGTTGTATTATTTGGTAAGCCTTGTGTGCAAGGGCGGACTGACAACTCATGGGGCCCCCGGGCAATAGGGGATCATGGGGCCCCTGTGTCCTTGCCCAAACTCAAAAAAGCCTATGAAAAAGGTACCAGGGGCATCTCATGGGGCCCCCTACTGACCTCGGGCAGTGCCCGAGTTTCCAAATGGTCAGTCCGCCCCTGCTTGTGTGTGACCAATGGCCACCTGGGAGACCTTACAAGTGTTTGATGGTGATGGCCTGAGGATCATATTCTATTTTTTCATCATGGCTTGTGGGACTCTTTTCATTCTGTTCCAGTGTATTTTCCAGTGTATATGTCTCTATATGAATTCCTGGATTTAAGCAGGTTGTTGACTTACATTTTTGTATATTCCAACAATATCACAGTTTATGTAGTGTATTTTGAGTTCACATATTGCTGTTAACAATGGACATTGGAGGGATAAGGCCTATAGTCACCACCCTGAATGCACCCGATCTCTTCTGATCTCAGAAGCTAAGCAGTGTTGGGCCTGGTAAGTACTTGGATGGGAGATATTGGGGGTAAGATCTTGGTGATTCATAGGACTAGATTCAATACTATTTATTTTTAATCATTTAATTTTGGGTTTGTGAGTGGTGCACTTGTTAACTTACCCATATCCCTCTATAGCAGGCCTTGAAATTTCCAGTCGCCTGCTTGCCAATGGCGAGTGGAAATTATAGTGGGGGCGAGTGTGTCCCCCAGGGCTGTCTTGCTGAGCAGGCTCGGAGCTCAGGCTGGATCTGTCATTGTCACTGGGAGTTGTCAGACTGCTCAATAGCTGAGTGCAGTGAAAGCAAAGGAAGGAGTGTGTGCTGTGCTCTCTGCCTCCCCCTAGAGTGCAGTACCCGGATCTGTGAGTGAACAAAGAAGTACTGCAACTTTTTATAGGGTGTGTGTGTGTGTGTGTGTGTACATGTGTTTGTTTTTGTGTGCGTCTGTGTATGCATCTACATGTGTGTATCTGTACATGTGTCTGTGTGTATGTACATGTATGTGTGTGTGTACATGTGTCTCTGTGTGTGTGCGTGCATGTACATGTTTGTGTGTATGTGTGTGTGTTTGTGTGTATGTACGTACATGTGTCTCTGTATGTATGTACATGTGTATGTGTGTGTGTACATGTATCTGTGTGTATGCGTGTCTGCACATGCCTGTGTGTGTATATACATGTGTCTGTATGTGTGTGTGTGTACATGTGCCTCTGTGCGTGTGTGTACATGTTTCTCCTTGTGTATGTGTGTGTGTGTATGTACACGTGTGTGTGTACAGGTGTCTCTGTTTGTTTGTTTGTGTTTGTTGGTGGTGAGTAACTCTTAAGGCCTGGCTAGTAGCTCAGGACTTAAAATTTTAAGCCCTGCTCTATACTGTGTACTTGTCTCAATTAAGAGGACTAAGTGTAATTTCTGTCTGCTGCTTTGTTCCTCTGCTATCTGCATGTGTCACTCCTGACAAGTTTTCCTGGCACCAAGAGAAAAAAGGTGAGAGGTGGGAGAGATTTCCAGCAGATTGACAGCCTCAGCTCTGTTCTTGTGAGCTGTGTGGAAGGGGGTGTGTCTTACCTCCAATAAGCTCTCAGAGCTCTCCTTACTGAGCTCTGCAGAGTGTAATTTCAGCTCTCTGTCCCCTTTTTCTGAACTCTCAGATATCTGTTACAAATTCAACACTTTGAAGGGATGCAGATAAAAGAAGACTGCAGATAAACAAGTACAGCTTATGTAGGGGGATTTGTTTCTTCTCTGTGTATCACTTGACGCCAGTCACTTCACTGGGTATATGCAAGGGTTTACAGTTACTTTAAAGAAACTTTTCTCTTCAATGGTTGTCAACACAAATTATATCACGTAACAGTGAGCCTCCTCCAATATCTTTATGTTCTTTAGCAAAAAATCCAAACCCCCTCCCAGTGGGCCAGGAAACCCTCACACCCTCAGACAAATTCTGAGTTTACATGAGTTGTAGCCCACCCCTACCCACGACATCTACCTTAGCCAACCTATCAAAAGTTTCTGTGCATGTGGTGGTGGTGGTGGTAGTAGTGGTGGAGAGGGGAGGGTGCTGGAATGAAATCCTTGGAATTCCTAAAAGTCAGAATTATATTAAGTTCAGCGTTCTTCAGGATCAGCATTTGCATTTCCTGGTAACACATACATGCATTAGAATAGGCCTACCATTATATAATTATTACATAATAAGATTGGTAATATTGTTTTAATCCAGCAACCAGTGTAACTGAATTAAATTAATGTAGCAGAAAGATATAAGAGACACTACCAACAAACATTGAGTACATTGTGTGCTACATTTTTTCTTGATTTTATGAAAAGAATTACATATGGAAACCTTGATAAAATGAACTGAGAATTACCACGAACTGTTAGAGTGCTGGTAGAGCTCTTGGATGGTGATCCTGCATCACTGGCCACTACCCTCAGGTAATACTCGCTGATCCTTTCTCGATCCAGTACGGCTGTAGAGGTAACCAGTCCAGTTGTACTATTTATGACAAAGTCCATACGTGGCATTCCAACACGCATCTGATATGTTACTTGCCCATTCAGACCTTCATCAAGATCTATAGCTACCACCTACAGGAAAAAAAGGCCAAGTTAATTTTAAGATAACTGCATTATCAGTGTTGTGTTTAAGGCCAATTAGAAAACGTGAGGTATAGGAAAGTAGAAACTCCTGAGAGCCACATTCTAGCAGCCGCCTTTATTATGCAAAAAGTCCTTAAAAACAGCAATCACAGTGGAAGTAGGGAAAAGGCTGTTGATGTGTTTCATGCCGAACTAGCACTTACTTAATGTAAGCTGATATAAGAGGATCATGATATTACACATCACTGAATATAATTAGCAGATTAAAGGCTGATTACTGTGTTTTTACGGACTTTTTTCATAATAAATGTGGCTACTGAAATGCGGCTGTTTGATTTTTCTATTTGTCTATACTGCACGGTTACAAGCTGAGTCATCACCCGATGAATGTGAGTGGGAGACCGGTGTGGACTGACCGGAAGTGGTGTTTACTTTCTTGCTAGGAAAGGTGAGAATTTAGAATAGGGTGGCACAATGTGAGGTACTCACCTTGTCTCATGAGCCTTCACCTGTATCTTGTCAATATGAACTCTGGAAAATGGCACATGAGTGAATACTCTGCATCCCTGTTCTGTGACCCTTGTGTCTACTCAAACAAACCTGTCTGTGACTGGAGTAGGGGTGCTTCTGGATTGGATTTAGCTTTCAACCAGCAGGATGAAGCAGGACTATTGTAGCTGTCACAGAAACCTAGGAATGTTCCCAGTAATCTCTTGTGGATGCAAAATTGCTTAATTACATTGCTTTCACATTTAATATGCCGTACAACAACAGGCATTACCTGGAATACAGATGCTCCAACAGATGTGCCTTCCAGCACCTCAGCAATGAATGGCTGATTCTGAAATGTTGGATCATTATCATTTAGATCCAGCAAATTTACAAAAACTGTAGCACTGCTTGTGGCTCGGAGAGGTGGTGTCCCTCCTGTAAAAGTTTAAGACAAATAACAATAATTTATTCATGTAAAAAACTACTAGATGTAGTTTAACTATTAGAGATTTGTTTACATTAAATGCATTTTACTTTACCTTCCAGTATATGACATTATACTTCCAGTAGGTCGTTTTCACACAGGTGCTAGATGCAAAAGACCATGAGAAAAGGAACATGCCTAACTCATTGCTTCATTCTGTTCAATGTGGTAGTAAACTGAAAAAATCCCCAGAAAGGGAAAGGCATAATGTGCCAATATGCATTGCATACTAGCACATTATTGAAAGCGTACCTTAAAACTAAGCCCTCCAGAGGTGCGTTGTCACCACTGACAGGGTTTCCATCTTCACCTGGTCCTTCTTCTGGGTTCGTGGGCTCCAGCTGCTTGAGCAGCAGAGCCACAATGACAGCAATCCTGCGCATGCGCATGGGAGTCTTGGGACACGGCACATAGCTCTGAACAGCACCGTTCCTTCAGAACCCATGCTCCGGCTATAAAAAAACCCCCAGAATATCTCCTAAACAGTGCACATTTAGGAGATATTCATTTTACTTACAGGTAAGTTTCATTATAAGTAATAAGCGTTACTACCACTTTAACAGTCAAATAATATACTGGCAGGAAGCATAACCAGATAAGCAATACAAGTGAAGGGTCCTGCAGATTCTATTATATATTAACCTCTTAGCACAGGCACCTCCTGGCCCTTTAAGAGTTTCAGAAGCCAGGAGGCAAGCGGGGTTTTAGGGACATGTGACCGCCGTGATTCGCCATCATGGCGGTCACATGATTGAAAGGGGAGATCGGGATCTTTCCGTGAGTCACGGACATATGTGCTGGGAGTGCGCAGGGCACACGCTCTCAGCACATATGTATTTTCTAATTGCACGTAAATATGCGTGCGCTCGGTGTCAAGGGGTTAAACTTTACAGGGCAGAGATGAAAGACAATTTGGACCAATAGCCAGTCATTAATTTGGGGGACTCTACCATGGCAGCACCAATTTAATGGGTAACTCCACTTTAGTTGGAAAAAAAAATTAGCAAATTAAAAAAATAAATAATATAGCGTTTACATTTGTGACTCAAGTCATACTGCAATTGAATGTTATTAAAAATGACCTTTCCTTTTTCAATCTGCAGCGCTGTCATTTTCTATAAAATACAATACAATATGGCTACCTGGAGGTGTTGTGTGTGTGTGTGTGTGTGATTGGCTGACTGATTTTCCCAGGAGTCTGCACTAAGATACAAGTCAGATTTTTGGCATCCCCTGCAACAAAAATGTCTGGGAACTCATGTCTGGAGGGACGCAGACCTTGCAATTTTCCTCATTAGTGCCCTGTAGGTGCAGCAACTGATTGATAACACTGTTCAACAGGTAAAAAGTTTTGGGCATAAAATTAGCTAATCTTACATAATTTTGGGGTGCTGAAAACGAAAATGACCCTAAAAAATGTTGATTGGCTCAAGTTTCCATGATATATTCACCCATCTAATGACGTAAGCCATTCAAAATTATGATGCAACTTCAGCTGCATATTGCGCAATTGATACTGGTGACCAATAGAAAATTGCATGTATACTGAGATGATGCAATATTAGCCTTTAATTGCATCACTTCACTGCATAAAAGCTGCAGTATCTGTAGCTGATTGTAGTTCGACAGCGTCTTTACATTTCGTTTTATGCTTATATAGGCTACTCAGTAATGCCTCGAACTTGTGTGAATAAAGCAGATAATTTCTGCTATATCTGCGGTGAAATAACTTTTATCTCACAAAAAAGGAGGATAACAGGAATGATTAAGAAAGCCTACAACTTGTATTTTGGCTGCAAGATAGGAGACCAGGACAAGAGCTGGGCACCACATATATGCTGCAATTCTTGTGGGACAGCACTGGAGCAATGGTTGAATGGAAAAAAGGCATCTATGCCTTTCGCTGTGCCAATGATTTGGAGAGAGCCAACAGATCATGTTAGTAATTGTTACTTTTGTATGGTGCCTCCAATTGTAAAAGGGCTAAATAAGAAGAAAAAGTTATCTGTGCACTATCCAAATATTCCATCGGCAATACTTCCAGTTCCTCATGGAGAGGGGCTACCAATTCCTAAAGCACCAGAATCCTTCGTGGTTGAGTCAAGTGAGAAAGAACCTGAAGCGTGTAGTCACGTGCAGTTGTAAGAGATAGCCCTTTCCTCGAATACAAGAGAAAAGCCAAGAGAAGCAAAACTGACACAAACTGAAGACAAAACTAGTGAGAATCCTAAGTATTAAAATGATTCAACTTAGCTTATGGCTATAATTTTTCTTGGTAATCCTATGCAATATATTATGCCATTTAGGCTTTGTTATGTAGTCAATATCACTTGCTTTATATTTGTGGAAAGACATCTATCTATATAATTATTGTGCATTATGTAGTCATTAAGCCTATAGTAGAAAACTTTCCGTTTACAGAAAAACTAGAGCCAATTGACAAATTTCATTGTTATATTTGAACTCAGAATGTGAAATTCATTAAGAAATGGATCCTTTTGTTTCCAAAACTGGCAAAAAATAAAAATTTGTTGAACAGTGTAATTATTCAGTCACTCCCATAAAGATTCACTCACCATACAGACACAAACATCTACTTCTTCAGAATAACAAAAGTTTGGAATCTGCAACAAAGTTTGTTAAAGTCCTTGCAAAGCACATAGATCACCCAGAGCAAAGCAAGTACTCATACCAAAAGCCTAGAACCCTTATCTGAGTTAGAGAGCGTCTATTCTTTTGTTAGCAAGCAGTGATTTGTGCTAAGCAGAGGCAAAGCAATAACTAACATTTTCCTGTTCCTTTACAAGGCTAAAATGATACATCTGTCATGAAACAGGTATACACCATTTTGAAGTCAACACATGGAGCAATCCAAACAAGAAATAAAACACAGGTCACTAATTTTAAAAGAAGTCATTACTAAAGCACAGACTGGCCATTGTGGTAAATTAGAGACAATTTACTTTGTGTATTTTCCTCAGCAGTAAGTGCATTTGCCCAGTGCAGTCCCAATGTAAGAACATGGCAATTTGCCACATGTCCTATGGCTTCGTTTTAGTCTAATGTGCTGATTCCGATCAATATTTTGTTTACATTCTGAATACTATTGAGTGAAATGCTATTGACAACACACAGAGCACTCTATCTAAAATGTTTTATACTCAGAAGAAATCATTTGTGTAGAAGTGACGTTGTAATTATAGTACTTACGGTCAGTGACTGAGATAACAATCTTTCTCATCAGTTCAGCTTCTTGTGCGTTTGGGTTTTCCCTGTCCAGTACCACACCTGTTGTTCTGATCTTCCCTGTGGTACTATTCAAGACATAGAACTTATTGGGAGGGTTGATGCTGTATACCATAGTACCATTCTCGGCAAGGTCTGGATCTAAGGCAACCACCTGATGTACAGAGGATAAGATGAGAAAAAATATATACCAAACCAGAAAGGACACATTTTAATTGAATGATCAGACAAATCTGAGTTTTATTAATGGTTTAACAAACATTGACATGAATTTGTGGAACACAATAATGATACAAGAGAAAAGAAATCAGTGCAAAACTAGGGGAGTGGCGTATATCTCATCTTGAAAAATCAATTAGATTACAATTTAGGATAGAAAATACGTATCCAAACAGTAAAGGTGCCAAGTAACTGATTCTGTCCACCAGATTCCAGAAACTTCTACTCTGATAATAAAATTTGATGTCTCACTCTGTTCTTATTCATGACTACAGACTTTGGCAGGCAAACACACTAGATTGCAATCAAAATACAAGAAGATTTTGCAGACATTGATCTCTAGTCTCCACATACATACTTACCAATACTAGGGTCAGGGCGTTGTTAACCTTGCACATATGGATCACTTTTCATCTGCCTACTTTCTGTGTGGGCATGCCTACTTAATGGGTTGACTCCACCTGTACCTCTCCTCTAAAAATGCATGGATCGCCCACTTGTGGGCCTGATCCCTACAACGAATGCCTTTTTGAGCATCTGTGCTTGTTAAGCCTTTTTGAGCATCTGTGCTTGTTACATAGTTAGGTTGAAAAAAAAAGACAAGTCCATTTAGTTCAATCAATAAAAAATAAAATAAATAAATAGAATATATAAATAGAAAAACCTCCATACACAAAATCCTATACCCAGAGTTTATCCTGAGAAAGGCAAACAAAATCCTATAGGTGCCCATTTGCACTGCCCGCAGACTAAACCACAGCAGTTTAGTGTGCTGGCAGCTCTCCATTCTGTCTGCAGTGAGATGGCAGTGGGGAACAGTGTGATTTTTGTTTTTATCAACAATTGTTTTCTGTGTGTCCAAGCGTTCATCACAGGTCACTGCACTATTTGTGAATAGGACCATTGGAGTATTCTGCACACACTGAAATGGTACTTTTAATCACAAACTCTATCTCATTTATAAATAGGTTAAAAAGTAAAGGGCACAACACTAAACCTTGGGGTACACCACAAATAACCTTAGACCATTCAGAGTATGAATCATTAATCACTAATTTCTAAAAATGGTCTTTTATTTATTGTCTTGTGGATAAAAGTAAGTCAACCAGTACAATTACCACCACTTCATGACATTAGAACCAGATGTCCCAGATTAAGTGTCAGTGAGCCCTCAGAAGAAAGGCCTATGAGTCCTGATAAGGGATTTAAAAATGGTTTCAAATTATTTTTATATCAATAATTTTCACTGTAAGGACGCAATACAGACTTCAAGGAATTAATTTGTCTTGGACTGGTCAGTCCAGTAAATTTCAGCCTAATGGCCCTTGTCCCGCCTTCTCTGCAGTTATGAAAGAGTTTACAGAGGGTAACAGGCAGTATAACCCTTTGATATCCACACAGTAACGAGTCGATGATTGATAACCGATGATCTTTTACTGATAACATGTGACCATAGTACATGAAATGTGGATATGAATGAATGTAATGCGGTTAAAACTGATATATACAAACAGAATAAAACAAACATGGAGTACATATCTAACTACCTAGTTATATACATATACATTCCAGCAGTACATTAGAAGGGGAGTACTTAACAGACTTTGGGGTGTCTAATCAAGCCCATATATGAAGAGAGAACAGCATCCCCACATTACTTGCATAGTAGAATTTCTTCTCAGTCTGAAAGAGATGAGGTCAGTTCCTCCCAAGTTAGCAAACAGGAAGTCTCTGGCCTTAAGGGGACAGACACTGCTGAATGCTAAAGAATGCCTTGTGTAATTACAGGGCAGCACACTCCCCACCGTGGCATAATTAATGATATAGCCACTATTAAACTCTTGGAAAGGAGTTAAAACGACTTACCGTGATGGGTCGTAATAAGGTACACCTTATAGGGGTGCCCCGTTTGTTACTACTGTCTGACCTCTACTTTCCTGACTCTGCTATCACTACTAGCAGTCATCTAGTCCCACATTGATGGGGGAATGTCCAATTGGCCAGGGTTCTCGTTCTGTGGGACCTTGTGTGGCCTGAGAGTCTTTTAGTAGAACAAATCATCTCGACAACTGTTGTAAGTTGGGCTTGTCCGGCTTGCCCTTTTGTTGTGTGGTTGGTCAAGGGTCATCATGGTAACTCCTGTCTCCATCTCTTCCAGAATGGATATCACATCTGATAATGGTGACATTGGAGCGCTTGCTCAAGATAGTCATTGTTACACTGGATCAACACTGGCATGTTTTGCTGAAGGATTGGCCAAGCAGATGAGTTTCCCTATGGCACGTCGATGAAGTGACTTCCAGCTGGAAAACCTTCGAACCTACATGACGTGCAAAGACCTTCTCTGGTGGTTAGAGTCTTGTAAACTGAAAGGACTAGAGGTCTTTACGCTTCTTTGTCTTGGTCTGGTTCCTACAAGCTGAAAACTGTTCCTTTCTGATCAGTCTCTTCAGTTTCTGGTCCAGTCAAGAAGGATGGACCTGTGAACCAGTTCTGTTTGTTTGAGGATCAGAAGCTGGTACCAGTCTAGTCCACGTATGATCAGCAGGGTTCTTGTCTGTACTGATGTGATGCCACTGTTCTGGACCTTGTTATCACTTTTGCTGATACGTGTGTTACTTCTGTTTGACACGTATGTGTAGAATCTTCTTGAAGCGTTGTGGATATAACCGTAAAAACAATCTTGCTGTCTCGCTGTAGAAGTTCACCTGCATGGATGATACGATATCCAGTTTGTGCTCAATGAGTAAGTTGCATATCTCCACAACTAGACAGCAGCACAAAGTTCTAAGCGTGGGGTACGTCGTATTCGTGAGCAGGTCTTGGAAAAGCCAGTTTGACTTTTCCCATGATGAATCCTGAATTTGCTTTCTCCCTGAGGTCTATGACTCTAAGGTAGGCTACAGTGCTAGAGCCCAAGGTGGATGTGAATCTGAAAACACGTGTATCTCTCTTCGTTTTGTAACAGACAAAGAAGAAACAGACGACGTATGGTCTTTGGTTGCTAGAGGTCGCTGTCTAAGCTGCAGATTTGATGAGTCTTTCCACAACTTCAATGCATTTCTAGTTTCTTTTTCAGGTAGTGGTGTGGTTCCCAAATCACTTTGTTGGGGGTGTACTAGTTGTAATCTCTCTCTAAAGAGATTTTTGCCATGCATGGGGTATGGAGTGCTACGAACCCCCCAAGGGATCGTTAAAGACTGTTGACCGTAGGACAAGACACCGCGCTTTGTGAAGAAGGCTTCTCTTCCCTGGATACTTCTGGAAGTGAGCTGTCAGTCTTCAAGATCCCAACTAAGCCCTAAGCTTCTTTGAAGGGGTGGTGAATCTGTACTCTAGATCTAAGGTCTTTGAGGTCTTTTGCACGTCTTATGCTGCTGGGAATGCTTCCATGACTTTGGCTGGTGTTGGAAGCCACTTTGTGCAAGCCTTATGTTCCCCTCCCGATTCTGCTAGCAAGTCTTACTCTAGTGCTTTTTCAAAATGTCAATGGCTTCTCCACTACTGAGAGAAGGAAGCAAGTCCATCGCATTCTACTAATAAAAGTAGTTTTCATAACAAATTGTTTGTTCAGGGTTGTGTGTCTGTCCTCCTTGCTGCGCTGCTTGTCTCCAAGCTGTAGGATAGCGACAGCTGGTGAGGGACTGTTCCCAAACTACATGTACTTTTCATCCTATACTCTATGATACCTTTGTTGAGGTCGTTGTTCTTCATACCATAGGAACTCAGGTAGTCTCTGTGGTCTTCACGGACAAGGAAGCAGTAGAACATCTGCTGTATATCTGGCTGTTTACTGCATCAACCAGCTTCTCTTCGGAATCTGATAAGGACTTCCAAGAAGTGTGTTTGTTCAGGTACTGGTCCGCTGAGAAGTACATCATTAGGGAAATACCTTCTATGCTTTGCATCTGGAATCAAATACTACACGTATCTGACCTGGTTTTTGAGGATGGTACACTCCGAATATTGGCAAGTACCAAGCGTTCTTGTGTTTCATGCAGTGCTGGTGCTTTTTTCAGCTTGATCTTTGTCAAAGAGTCCTTTTCCGCATGAATTCTTGGAAGTGTTCTTTCCATGTCTGGCTTTCTTTCAAAGATGTGCGCTGCAATAGCGCAAGGCGTTTCTCTGCTTGCACTCTGTTGTTGGGAAGACGGATGTCGTGGTGTACGGAATGGTAGTGGGGCTACCCCCAACTGGATCCTGCTTTTGTCTTTGAAGACTTCTCCTGTCCATGATCTCAAGGAAGAGGTTATCTTCAACAGATTGGTGCTAGTTTGTCATTAGAGAATGAACGAACTTTTCAAAATTCGATTCGGCTGATTCGGCGAATTCACCAGGAAGAAATTTGATTCGATGCGAATTAATTCGTTTCGAAGTTAACTTATTATAAAAAGGGTTTCTAGGCTTCAGAGAGCCTTTAAATTAGTGCAGAACACTGTACCTTTAAATTTAAATGCCCTTGGAGATGAGGAAGGAGAAGGAGAAGGAGAAGTGGAAGGATGAGAAGAAGGAGAAGGATGAGAAGAAGGAGAAGGGATGAGAAGAAGGAGAAGGATGAGAAGAAGGAGAAGGATGAGAAGGAGGGAGAAGGAGAAGGATGAGAAGAAGGAGAAGGAGAAGGATGAGAAGAAGGAGAAGGAGAAGGATGAGAAGAAGGAGAAGGATGAGAAGAAGGAGGAAGGATGAGAAGAAGGAGAAGGATGAGAAGAAGGATGAGAACGAAGGATGAGAAGAAGGAGAAGGAGAAGGAGGAGAAGTATGAGACAGAAAGGATGAGAAGAAGGAGAAGGA